TAGGAATCATGGGCGTCCGTCAACCTCCAATACCCAGCCCACTTGGGGCCCAGCTCGCGTGCTGCTATGAATACAACAACTTTTACATTTTTATTTTTTTTAACGATTGTTGTCAAATCCTTGAATTATGGTAAATTTAAATGATTTTAACATAGTGGTAAATACACGAAGATTTGACAACGTTTAAGGTATATTTATATGATTTTAATCATTATTGTCAAATTCAATTTGAATGTTAATCTAAGAAAGATATCAAATTATTTAATTATATTTTAATCACAAGATACATGATTGAATAAATGACTCGATCTGAAAATTTTAATAGTTAAATTTTATTTTTTGTACATATATGAATAAAAATAAAATAAATTTTTATTCTTTTCAACCATATATCTCTAAAATAAAAATGTTATTATTATTATTATTATTATCATTTTACTTTATTTATTTAGTTTAAAAAGACATTATTTCATCTCTAGTTAGCAAATAAAATACCCACTTTCTTAATTTTTTTGGATTGCATGATTATTATTTTATTTTTTTCAATAACATAAATTGACAGGATTGGTATAACACCCATCCGCTTCAAAAATGTAATAATCCAATTAACTTTATTAAATAAAAGTTGGAAGGTTGCTGCAAATTAAGAACACAGGCTCTAAATAGTCCAAAAGTCATTATGGTATAGTGAGTTGTCAATTTTATATGGGCCTGTGGCATCATCTGCCACTTTCCTCGGCCACCCCCGTGGCCTTTCCATCCCTTGCTATGGTGGCCCTAAAACGGCCATAAAGAACAGGTATTATTATGTATTGGAAAACACCAAGAGCATCTCCAATGCTATTCCTATAATAAAATTTTTCTTTATAATAAAGAGATTTTATTCAAATTTTATCTCTAATGCTCTCTTTATCATAATTTCTATCTTTAAAATTAAGATAGAAAGTGTCTTTGGCTCTTCAATATTAGAGAGTCCAAATGACGTTTTATCTTATATTTAATTAATGAAAATTACTATTTTCTATGTCACTCAACCTCTTCACTCGATAGTTTTTTTTGATTTTATGGATTTTGTCAAAATAAAGAGTTAAAGTAGAGAGTAGCATTGGAGAGGGCATTGATCTTCAATCTATATAATTAATTATGCTCTCTATTTATATTAAAAATGCTAGCTAAAAGTAGAAAGCACCATTGGAGATGCTCTTAGGAGTTTAATTCTCATGTTTAAAAAATTCTCTCTCTTCTTTACATGATATTATATTTGGACTGCCTATAATTTTAAAAATTTTAGTTTTTAGAATCGATTAAAAGTCGGATATAATTTGACACAAACTTAGTTCAAAAAATAATAGATTTAATTTTCGTATAAAAATACTTCACTACATATAAATATTATATTAAAAAATTAAATACAAAGATAAGTATATGGCCCAACAACCTTATTCTAAAATTATTTTTTAATCCAATTTGCTATAACATTGGTTTAAACAGGTCCACATTTAAACTAGCTCTTGAGAGTTGGCTAATGGAATAAATGGGTTTATTTCTTAAATTATCATACGAGATATATATCATAGTTGCTTTAAACTTTAGTACCCCAAACCCCCCTCCACCACCACCACCCCACCCCCAACAACCTCCTCGGGCGCACACACACATACATATATATATCCGATTATATATTTTGTCAATTTCTCGTGGTGATTTTTTTTTCTTTCAGATTTACTAAACAAATCTTTAGTTTACAATGGATAGTTTTATGTGAAATATAATTTCCCATTTTCATTGAAATTAATGGTGTGGGAAATGGATATTTAAAGAAAAATACTCATTTTTTAGCTTGGGAAAAAAGACTCTTCAATAATCTCAATCTAGTTAGTATTAATCGGTTACCTATGCTATAATGTGTGTCGAATAAAACAAAATTATTTCAAAATTTTATGATTTTTTAATTAAAAATTTGAATTTAATTATTTTTTTATAAATTTTCTATTTTGAAAAAATATGATCCATTCTTCTTTATACATTGATTTTTAGATACAAAACTTGTAATAATTTAAATTGAAATGTTAAGAAATAATTAAAAAAAATTAAAAATATCTATTTCATAAGATTGTATCAAAAAAATAATAGTACCATTAATGTATAGATTTTTATAAAAATTAAAAAATAAAAATATTTTTTATTTTTATTAATTCTAATGAAAATATTATTTTTTAGAAATATATGTATTTGATTGATATTTAATTATTTTATTTCAAAGAAATTGGTTGTATAATGTTAAAAAAAAAAATCATAGCAAGTTGATGTTATGTGTGAAAATGTATGATTAAATTTTAATAAAACAGATAATTCAATAGTTTTTTAATATGTCATAATCATATTTAGTGGACTGAAACATATTATCTGAAATAGGCTTTTAAATTTTTAGATTAAAATAATTATATATTTATACATATGCCACAATCATTTAAAAATTCTAAAAAATCATGATATATATTATGTCATGATTTTTAAAGAAAAAAATCATGCTTCAAAATATTATTCTAAAATCTAAATATAGAGAAAAATAAATTATATTTATTAGTAAATAAAATTTTGGAGAAAATAAAAAAAATAGTGGAATGAGAATTTTTATAAGAAATGATAAATTTAAAGAATACATTTTAAATAATAAAAGTAATATAATCTCAAATATATGTTAATTTAAAAAATAAAAAAGATATTACATGCATTTTATACTCATCATGCTATGTTAAAAATATAAATAATAACGTTCGATATTTTATAATTTTTTCTTTAAAATTCTTAATTAAAAAAAAAAAAACCAAATGTGCAATCTTGTGCGTTTAGGCCTAAAGGACCAAGCTCGGGCGCATGGGGACCTGGCATGCATTGGCTAGGATACGAAAAAATAAAAAAAAAATTTAGCGATCTCTGCAATTTTCGACAAACTCAATTTCTCTAAAAAGTCTAGTTTCAAAATTTTTGACCTCTCAAAATCAAATTTAGTTTTATTTTTGTTCAAAAACACCTAAAATCACAAAAAAAAAAAAAAAAAACTTTTTTAGAACCTAAAAACTCATTTTAATGCACACAAAAATTCAAATCAAAATAAAAAAGATAAAATATTTTCAAATCCCAATCTATTTTCTTTAATAATTTCATGTCTTGTGACCACCACAAACAGATTCTACTTTTCTAGACGAATAAATTGGTGGTAAACTCAACCAACGAGATGGCTAGAATGGGTTTCGCCATCTTTCTCTCTCTTTCTCTCTCTCTCTCTCATCTCTCTCCTTGAAGCATGCATGGACCAAAATGAAAGAAAAATGAAATTTCAAATTAAAAAATTATTTTAAAAATGAGGGATCAAATTGTAAATTTTCTTGCAAACATTGGAAAAGCGTAGTGTTTTCGGGTAAATTTACAATGTTTGAGCATTATGTTTTGGTATTTTTTATAATGATCATCAAGAAATATATTCTATTGTATAGGTGAAAATTACTATGTTTGATTCTTTTACATGCTCGTATTATTATTTTTTATTTATTTTTTTGCTTTATTTATTTAGTTATTTTTATTTATTTGATGGGTTGATGGCCAAGTAAATTTGGAGGTTTTATATACTACAAAAAGATGAATTAAAAAGATTTTGCTCATCAAACTTGAATTATTATATTTTAAAATTTATTTAATTTTTTCATAATCAAACGATAAATATATGCACTGCATTGGATAATAAATATTTTAAACTCCTTGTGTTGGCATAACCAAATTATGGCATGTTTTAGGTTAAAAAGTCTTAAAAACATAAGAGCAAAGGATGAAAAGAGGAATTGAGCGAGGGAAAGGAACCAAGAAATGGGGGCCCAAACATGATCTGACAGCACATTAAATGACAAGAAAGTAATTAAGCAAAGAATTAAAGAGTGTTAATTAAGAAAACAAAAGAAACGAATAAAAAAAGATAAACAAAGAAAAAAATATTGCAAGAAGTGGTGCAAATTAAAGGCGCATAAAGGGGCAGGCAGGCAGAGCAGAGAACGAAGGATCAGGATGGAATGAGAATAGAAGCGCAGTGAAGGAGAGTCTGGGTCTACAATGAAGCGTGTGTGAGAGTGAATAGGTTAGTTACAGTCCTATCCCACCTCTTTTAGTGTTTCTTGTAGTAGGATCATTCTCATCTTCTAATAAAGTCTAGCTAGTTCAATTAAAATAAAAGACAAAGACCACGGTCAAATCATTACAATCTTGTGATGAAACAGGAGGCTTTGTTTGTTTAATCATTTTATTCCAGCGGTGATTGCATAATCAGCCAACTGGATCCAAATCTCTTGTGCCCTTGAGCAAACTGTTGCTCTACTTCATTTTTCCTGCTGAAAATGCCTATGAACGAATTGCATTCTTTTTTTCTTTGGACCCTAAGTAGGAGAAAGTCAGTCTAATCATTAGGTATAGACATATATTATTTGTTATGGCAAATCCAATTCAAGCAAGACAAATCATTTAAAATTGAATTGGAGTTACTTTAATTTGATGATCACAAGGGAGTGTTTAACTCATCAAGTCATACAATAAACTTTGTAGTGTCACAAATTACTAAATTATCTTGCAACTTAAGTTAACAGAAGTCACTATGCATGTGGCAGAAATTTACTAAACCTCAAAAACAGAATTTCACGGAGCAGAAAAGGATAAAAGACAGCCAACTTTCATGTGATCCTGTTTGTTTTTGCACAGCAACCTTTGTCCCTTAGCAAAAATGGGGAGCTGTACTGTCAAATCGGGTCCCAATAACATTTTGACACCAAGCAATAGCACTCAGTCCCCACCAGCACTACTTCTGAGTTCTCACCAGGTAGCTTTTAAGCCTTAAGCACCGGTGACCCTCCTCGCATTCTCCCATTCTCTTCTTTACACACATTTATTGAAGTTAATAATAGGTGTATTGATTTCATAATCATTTAATGGCTTCCTTTTGCACAATATTCTTGCCAATGCTCACGGTCTTTATGGCCTATCTTTCCTCACCAGCTTTGACATCTCAAGTACAAGTACAATTCGCTACTATATCAGCAGCACCTGCATTCTTGCCTGATGCTCCCTTATCCTCTCCTCCAACTTTATCACCAGATATCGAACCTGTGTTTCCTACTCCTAGAGTTGGAGCTCCTTCTCCTACTGAGTCGTCACTACCAACCATTCCTTCAAGTCCAACCCCTCCAAATCCAGATGGCGTGCTAGCTCCTGGGCCTGCAGGATTTCCAATTTCACCATCTGGGTCTTTGCCAGTCTCTTCTTCAGTTTCTCTAACTTCATCAAGTCCTTTAAATTTAGCTGTTTTTCTTGGTCTGCTGGTGTTCTGCTTAGTGCAGCTTTCGGGTAAGTGAGGTCAGTTGGTGGCAGCTCAATTATTGTTGCTAGTGGTTCTACTTTCTGTGTTTTATGTTTGGACATTTCTTTCTTTTTTATATACTAGTGTGTATATTATATGCTTTGTTGTGTTGTTAGGTGAATGAAAGCGTATGGCATTGTTGTGAGTTTGTGATAGGATAATGTCTTAAAAAAAAAACAATAGCAATTTAATAAAGTTGTAATCTCATTTCTTTGTTGGCCTTGGGGAGATGGTGTTGAGGATTTATTTGAAGATTACAGAAGAATTTATCTAGATGGTAAGGTTGAATATTTTGATTCTTTGTCAATTGTAACTGTGCTTGTCTGATTGCATGCTTTGCCAGCTGTGAAATTTCTCTATATCAAAACCGTATAATTCTCTCTTTTCCTTTCTACAGTGCATGTTTTATTGACAGCTATGAAATTTCTCTATATCAAAACCGTATATTTCTCTCTTTTCCTATCTACAGTGCATGTTTTATTGACAGCTCCTCTAAATTGGGGCCATAAAGAGCCACAAATAGCCGACGGCCCAACAGACTCCAGCTAGGCTGCATATTCTATTTTTAATACCCTTCACCATAAAAAGCTAAAGATTGAAGAAGATTTGATTGCATAACATTAAGATGACGTCCCTAACAACTGTAAAACAGTATTTAACAAAATAAGATTAGAACAATGTCATAATTAAGATAACACTATACCATGTTTCCTAAGTTGATTTCGAAGGTAATTTAAGTACCTGATATTACAACCTATTCTAGATACAACTGTGTTTACAAACTACGCTACTTACTGTCAAAAATCAACATCTAGAGAGCTAGGGCACTACCCTGAGACTATGAAGATCCATTAAAAAGCTTTCCACGAAATACATCCTTCAGCTTCTCGACTGTGAAATGGCTTCTTTTTTGGTTCGCTACCCACTTCCTCAGCTTCTCATTCTCTAACTTCAACAATTCAACTGCAAAACTAAGCTGTCTTATTGCTTCCCGCTTCTCTTCATCTTTCTGCAAAAGATGCTCCTTGTAAATCCTGCTCTCTTCTCCAAATCCTTCTATTTCTTCCCTCAACTTCATCACTTCAACATTTTCTTTCTTTTCTTCTTTCTTCTCCTCATGTTTCTGCAAAAGATTCTTGCTAATTGTCTTCTCTTCCCTAAAACTTGCTATTTCTTCCCTCAGCTTCATCACTTCAGCGTTGTACACAATGCTTGAAATCTCAGCTGCTCTCCTTTCTTCACTGATTTTTTTCTTTTGTTCTCTACTCTCCTCATCTTTCTGCAAAAGATACTTATTGTAAATCCTCTTCTCTTCCTCAAGCCTTTCTATTTCTTCCTTCAACTTTGTCACTTCAGCATTGTACATGGAACGAACTTCAGCATGTTTCATTCCTTCATCAACTCCAGTTTTTTTGTTGTCTTCAAGTGTCTCGATTTCTTCCAATTCTTCACCGACTTGAATTTGATCTTGTTCAAGGTCTTCTACTTCAGCATGTTTCATTCCTTCATCAACTCCAGTTTTTTTGTTGTCTTCAAGTGTCTCAATTTCTTCTAATTCTTCACCGACTTGAATTTGATCTTGTTCAAGGTCTTCTACTTCAGACTCAGCAAAGTCCTCAACATGGGCTTCTTTCATTTCTTCAGCTGTCTCAATTTCTTCCAATTCTCCATCTACTTGAATTTGATCGTGTTCAGGGTCATCTACTTCAGACTCAGCAGAATCCTCGGTGTGGGTTTCTTTCTTCTCTTCAGGTGTCTCAATTTCTTCCAATTCTTCATCAACTTGAATTTGATCTTGTTCTGGGTCTTGTTCAGGATCATCTACTTCAGACTCAGCAGAGTCCTCAGTGTCACAAGTCTCGGAGTGGCAATCATAGGTTTGATCAATCTCCACACTCATTAACTTCTCACGTCTATGTTTGGTTGAAAATGGTGACCCAAATGTTGCTACCAGGAGGCGGTTACCAGAGTCAGACTTAAGTTGATCGTATCGCTCAGCCAACGAGCGGTGGGCCCTATAAAAATCTTCAACCATGCTAATTAGCTCTGGCCGTTTCTTGTAATACATCTCTGCACGTTGAGCAAAAGAATCCGCATCTGCCTCTATCAGTTTCAGCATTGACTTGGTCTTCTTGTCTAGCTCTGCCACAGCATATAAGAGATTTTTAATACCATAAATTTACCATCTCATCATAAGTACAAATTAATGCATAATTAATGAAGGTAACATCTCATCGTAAGTACAAATTAAGGCATAGTTAATGAAGGTAACATCTGATAAATTAAAAAACCTCAAAAAGTGGCAGGTTGTAAAAGATCCAACCCCGGGATACTCAGGAAAAATGCCTAATCCTAGGTACTTATCTGACACAAAATGTTGCATCGCAAGAGACCTAGAACTTGGAAAGTGTAGGCCGCAGAGCAGTCAGCAACCAAATTATCACAGAGAATTGTAACTTGCAATTACTTCAACTAGCTAGTTAAGTTCCATTTATTGTACTATCATAAAGAACTCAGGTTGGTTTAGAAGTAAGGAAAAAGAAAAGGGAGCATTGATGAGTTGATAAACAGTTACCTGTGCAGGTAAAGGAAAACAAAGAAAAATAGGAAAAGAGAGTCCGTGGCCCTACCAACTTTCCAAAATTTTTAAGAATCTACATTTTGTGCTTCAAAAGGTCGCTTTACATTTAACTAATAATCGATGGGTCCAGTATCATTTTTAGAACCTTAAAATGATGAACATACTTCCCAAAGCCATTTCCCCAAAAAAAACAAAAGATTATGACAGTAGTTGGACCTTCAGGGTCCTCTGTGTAGAGGGCCATATACCATAATTGATACTACCAAGCAGTCTCACTCAGACAATTACATATAACCATCACATCCTGGCTGAGTAAATTATAAATTAGTCTTTTTAGTTTTGCAAAATGAATTAAATATTCCTTCTTGTTTCAAAAAGTAATTAGTTCCTTGACTAGTGTTGACAATGGTTAATTTAATATGATTTTGTTTTTTAAAAAAAATCCTTTTTTTCTCATCTACCTTTCCATATTTTTTTTACTTATTTTTCCCTTTTTTCTATTTTTTAAAATTAAAAAATAATTAAAAACAACAAAAATAATTAAAATACAAATAGATTTAAAAATATAAAGATTAATTAATTAGTTTTTGAAGTTAGAGGGACTATTTAAATCATTTGAGAAACAAGAGAGACTAATTTATAAATTATTTGAAATTTTTTCAAATGTTCAATCTGTTCTTGAAATCAAAATTTTCAACCATAAATTTTTTTAACCCAAATTTCATTTACTAAAATACAAAAAAATAAAATAAAATAAAAAACCAAGGGCAAAAATATATAAAGTCACATGACCTAAAAGTTATCTTTTTTAAATTAGTGACTCTAGACCAGTTCTCAAAATCAGTGTTATGAAGATAACGCATGATCCATATTAACCAAGTTACTCCATATCTATCATAATTTGTACCCAACACCCATCTATCCTATCAGTTCTTTATGGCTGAGGACCCCTCCAATGTCTGCCCCTTATTTTGCTTAGAATTGTGTTGAATAGTCATAACATCATCAATTAATACACAGCCAGTAAATGGTGCAATCTTACAAATATGAGGACAAAACCTAAAAAACCCATTTCACTGTGTTTACGAGTGAAGGCTCCAAGGGATATGAATTTTCAAGCATACAAGTAATTTTAAAACTTACAGCATCTCTGATACTTTTTGTAGCCTTTCTCTGATGCTATCTTAAACCTACAACTAAATAAAAACTTTGGCTACCAAAACATGGACCTAATAAATTAGAATCATCCTTTAATATATGGGTCCACTAAGTCTCGATACTCCTTTCAAATAACACAAAGGGGAGAAAAAAAAAAATCAAGGGTTAAGTAATTGGATCCACCTTCCGTGGAGGACCTCTCTCTGACCCTACATGGTGGTCCAGCTAAAACAACCCATTTCTCAGTATAAATTGTAGCTACAACCCTAATTAGCGCGATGATGTAATTAATTTGTAGTTCTCAAAGAATCCACAATTGGACCCACTCAAATGCAACCCTTTTCTTGTACTAACCGAAAATGATTAATTTCATCCATAGAAGTAATCTACCTCAAAAGGTATCAAAATTTTTGTACTAATCCATTCACCTTCAACTAAGAGGAAAAAGAAAATAGTCCATAGAGAGAATAAAAAATCAATTACTACAACTTTGAGATCTTCAGACACACATGCACAAAAACAGTCCTTACGATATAATCAAGAGAAAAACTCCCGGTGTATTAAAAAGAAAAAAAGCAACAGTAAACCCAAGAATAACCAGATACAGGGTGGTCACCAAAAACAAATAAAGGGATGGATGACGGCTAAAAGGGGTTTTTTTTACCAGCAAGAGTAGATTGTAACCATGGAGAGCCACTTGAGATATGGTGACTGTCAAACCACCACCGGTGTGATGTTTCCTTGTTCATCATCATCTCCACCATCTTCTTCTTTTTCTTCACCTAATATTAAATTAATATCCCACCACAAAAAAGAAAAATTAGTAATTTTGATCCCAGCGGGATGCATTTAACCTAAACAATGCTGCAAGTTTGTGATTTTCATAAATGACAAAATCTGCAAAAAGACAATTCAGTACGTCTTCTGGAAGCAAAAGCGGGCAAAGAATACTCCCTAGTGAGTCGAATGGTGGGGGCTATATTAGTCATTTCAGTTGGCGCAAATAAAGAGGCAAGCTTCGATTTTGAAATGCCAAATAACCTGCCTAATTTGAAGAAAGTTACCAAAAATTCAAAAACCATGGATACACAACACACGGCCAATCTTCGCCAGCGCATCAGTTTAGGTTAGATTAAGGCCAAAAGAATACACGTCCCTCGGTGGCCCGGTGGGTGTGTAAAAAGAAGATCAAACAAAAACTCATAGCTGAATCACCCTTTCCTAGCACTTATATAATTTTCTTTAAATCTGAATGCACATAGCAAGCAATCTAGAACAAAAGAGAAAGTCTGATATGTTGGGCATGGAAAAACTACACAAACTTCCCCTAGCGAACAATTGTGGAGATGTGCATCCATGGTGGTAGTGTACAGCCAATGGTCACAAAAAACAAGAGAAGTTTTAGGCATATAGATACAGTAAGAGGATGATGGGAAAAATACCTGAGACGAGAGAATCCTTACGCGAACTCGATGGTATCTCTCTCACCGTCTGTGCTACACCCTTCCTTCTTGTAGTAGTGTTTGACGCCGAGACGACGCAGTTGTAGTTTAAATTAAATGCTCTTCTCATCCAGTTCTTTATTTGTCTCCTTCTGGTATTCTGACTCTATAAATATAACGTCAGTAAATAAGCCAATAGCAATCTAGCACGCGTAGAGGAAGTTTGGCAGGATTTCAAAGGTCTACGTGAAAGTACGAAATTAGCCAACCGAACCAAACCGTATATAGCATCTTGCCGCCTCCTAATCCAAGGCCTAGATTCGGGATTTCAGTGCTTTGATTTGGACCTTATTTGTAGATATACAAGACCGTGGACTGGAGCGGATGCAGTGGGGACGCGTCTGTGAGTAACGGTCGAAATTCTTTCTTTTTCCTTTTTCGCCTGTCGATCCAATCCAAATCGAAGCCCAATTTGGTAGCTTAATAAATTGGTCAAAACTAGATTAGCACTTGCGATTCGTCGCCGGGTGGGGTTTATAATTATTTGCACGAACCATTTTGCATTTATGTGTAAAGTTACAAGTAATAAATAAATCATTAACAATTAACAAAACAAACTAAAATTGGAGGTATGTTTACTGTTTAATAACTGTACATTTTATTGTATATCCTCTTTCAAAACACTATAGACATATACTTAGATGAAATGTGCATTATACCGTACAGTCGCATGCATGTCAGTGCTTGAATTTTTTCATCCATTTATAGTTTTGGCTAATGTTGTACTCTAATCATTAATTTTTCTAAACAATTTTGTGTTGATTCCAAACTTTATTTATATCACCTCTTGGACTTTGATTGTAGATAAGATAGCAAAACAGCCATAGAAAAAACAAGAAAGAAATCATTACGAAACTCATTCTGATCATTTTGAATATTCATCTTCGTTTCAATTTGTTTGTCCGGAAGAAATGAGTTTTTTTTTATAATGATCAAAATATATGGATTGGTCAGAAAAGATAATTCAAAATTTTAAAATATTTTGAGTTTTTTTATCTTGATTTAAATTTTTACAGGTTTTATGTATATTAGAATTAGTTTTGAGATTGTAAATAAGTTTAATAACCTTAATTCTATAATTTTAAGGTGTTTTTCAATAAAAACAACGTTGAATTTTGATTGAAGAGGTTGAAAATTGAAAACTTGATTTTCCAATGATTTTTTCTACGAGCTCATGTTCACCAAAAACTGTTGTCGAATGCCACGTCGTCTCCTACGCAGAGAGCTGATTACATGTTGTCCGTTCTCTTTCTTTTTATGAAGTCTGGGTTGTACAAGCCTGATTCTCCAAGCCCAAGCACCCAGGTATGTGCCTTAGTTTGTTTTTTTTTCAGTAATTTATTTTAATTTTTTTATTACATACTTTTTGAAAAAAATTATAGAAGATGATTTTTTTTTTTTGGTTCCCATGCAGTTTTATGTTTTTTTTTTCTATTTTAAAATAAATATATATTTCAGAATACATCACTCTTATATTTAAAATTTATTATTTTTTGTGAAAATTCTCATCTAATTAATTTTTTATTTTTATATTTTTTATAAAAATTATTATGGATTTTGAAAAAAAATCATAACATGATTATTTTCTTTTTTATGAATAAATTGACATAGTTTGCATAATGAATTATTAGAATTTTTAAATAATTTTACAACATGATTTTATATAGAAAAAGAATCCCTAGAGACTAGCTTTCAGTATTCTGCTGTAGGAGGAAATAGAATGACCAAAAAGACAAAAGATGATGAAAAGAAAAGAAAAGCGGTAGAAGACAAAAATGTAATAGTACAAAAGCACCGATAGGTATAAAAAAATTAAAAGAAAAATAGAAGGGCTAGAAAAAGAAAACTCAAAAAAAAAAAAAAAAAAAAAAAAGCAGA